ACTGGGGGAGGAGCAATGAGTCTTCCCCTCTGCCAATGCCCATCTCTCACCACTGAGAAATGGTCCCTCAGGTTCCCCCTGAGCAGCCCACAGAGGATGCTGTAGAGGGCAATGGAAACCAAGCGACACAGCACCTTTTCCCCTGCTGCCCTTGCTCGAGACACGAACAATTTTAAGCAAGTCCACTTGTGGCACTCTCCTGACTGTGTGAGAAAAGAGGCTGAAGACAGCATCTAGATGATTTTAAAGAGTGATTTTAACTACACAGCTGAGTTGGTAAGGAAAACCACAGTAGTGCCTCTTCACTGGGACCTTTTCTAACAGATGAACTCCAGGCCTGTAAGAATCAGCCTAAGCAAAATGCTCTCTGAACCCTGCAAAATATATTCAAGGATAGGTAAAGCAGAGTAAATATCAGCTCCCACTTTAATTTTTCACTTCTCTTGTGGTTTTTTAGATGTGACATCATTTGGACAGGCATGTTTTACGCAGGTGAATCCCCAAACATTTTGTAAAATGCCAACTGCACTAGCAACAGGGGAGACTGAGTCAAGATATACCTATGAGCACAGACCTGAGCATAGTCAGAAATAGTTTCTAAAATTCATGCATACATGAACACTTGTCTTTTCACTGCAGAAGGCAGCAGTAAGTTGCCATGCCTGTCAAATATCAGTGAATTTATTCAGCATACTTAAGAGCTTGACAGATTTTTAAATTATATTGCGAGGCACGGGTTTAAATTATTTCCAGCAGTAACAGCAACCCTGTGTCAGGATTAATAGGTAAACAGAAGTGCAGCTTCAATCTTTTCTTCCAGTCATTCTTTATCTATTTCTACAGCTTTATCTGCACACCAGTGCCTAAAAAAACCCCTGAGTCTTATTAGGTCATCCCTGAAATGCATACATTAAAGTAAACCCTTAGAGCTTTGTTAAACAGATGTAGTGAGTGGTGCACAGAGAGAAGGGCTTGAACATGACACAGCTTCTGTTCCCCCTTTATACCAGGTCTTCCCATGAGATCTGGGCTCCACTGCAGCCATTTTCTTGTCATCTGAAATGGGGAGATTCCTAATATGTGAGAATATTTGGGTCAAAAACTCCCCCAGGCTGTTCAGAGCTTCCTCTGTACTCGACTTTGCTCACAGCAGCATCTGATCATTCTGTGCTCCCTCCCACACCCACAGAGTTTTAACGAGGACAGCACCATCTCTCACATTTGAGCTACAGCATCTGTCTTCCAAAAGACTGACATATTTGAAGAAACATCTGAGTTCTAAATGAGGATAACTCAGGGAATTGAAGGCTGGTCAGGCTTGAAAGGACACGGAGCAAATCCTCCTGGAAGAAGGCATTTCCAAACATAAGAAGGTGCAGTCAACATGGATATATGAAGGGGAGATCATGTCTGATGAACCCAAGAGCTTTCTGTGCTGAGAGGACTGGGTGGGAGGTTGTTGATCTTGACTTTAGTAAGGTTTCTGACACTGTCTCCATAAAATCTTCATAGACAAAACAATTAAATACGGGCTAGATAAGTAGATAGTGAATTAGACTGAAAACTGTGGGCTCCTGGTCATAAAATACCATGTTTGGAGAAAAAATGTCCAGTCATTAATGGTGCAACCAGGGGCTGATAATGCAGCCACTACTGTTTAACAACTTAATCAGTGACCTGGATGATGGGACAGAGTGTACCTTCTGCAGAGTCACAGATGACATAATACTGGGAGGAGCAGCTGACACACCAGAAGGTTTTGCTCGCATTCAGAGGTGCCTGGATAGGCTGGTGAAATGGCAAAAAGAATTTCACAAAGTTCAGCAAAGGGAAGTGTGGAGGAACAGAACGCACTGTGGGCCACCTGTTTTGGAAGCAGTTTGACACAAAAGCACCTGGAGGTCCTGGTGGACTCTAAGCTGAACACAAGCCAGTAAGGTGCCTTTGTGGCAAAAAGGGCCAAGAGCCCCTCAGGATGTGCCAGGAGTGCAGCCAGCAGGCTGAGGGAAATGCTCCTTGCCCTCTGCTCAGCACTGTGAGTCACACCTGCAGGGCTGTGCTCCAGTTCTGGGCTGCCCAGGGCAAGAGACACGTGGACATGCTGGAGGTAGTCCAGAGAAGGGTCACAAAAATGATGAAGGGACTGGAAGACCTTTCATTTGAGGAGAGGCTGAGAGAGCTGGGACTGCTTAGACTGGAGAAGAGAAGGCTCAGAGGGATCCTTAACAACATTTATAAATACCTGATGGGAAGATGGATCCAGACTCTTCTTAGTGATGTCCAGTGAAAATAAAAGAAGAAAGGAACAGAAACTGAAATACATGAAATTCCATTTAAACATTTTTATAAGTTTTTTTACCATAACAGTGATTGTACACTGGAACAGGCTGCCCAAAGAGGTTGTGGAGTCTCCATCCTCAGAGCTACTTTGACTGGACACTGTCCTTAGCAACCTGCTCTAGATGCTCCATCTTGGAGCAGAGGGTAGAACTAGATGATCTCTAGAGGTCCCTTCCAAGCTCAGGCATGCTGTGATTCTGTGACAATCCAGAAGTCACTGTCTTTCTGCCAGTTACAAGTGATGGCTCACAGGCTGGAGCCAGAGAATGGAGAAACAGAAGGAAGCACTTAGAGCAGGGATTCCCCATTTGCTTTCAGTGAGCATGCTACTGACACCAAGGGATGATCACCAGCTTTTGGGACACCAGAATGAGGTCACAGATGGGTACAACAAAGCCTATGACTTCAGTCATGGTATTTCAGCATTTAGTGACATTTTGACCTATCTTACAGGCTCAGTTCATATTTAAAGATAAGGAAGATTTACTCACCTACACACACACACACACACACACACCCCCACAGTTCTAATCAAACCCAGAGAAGCAATAGCATGAGCTACAGGAAACATCTGTCATTGCTAATGAGGCCTTCAGTATTTTCACTAGTTAAGTCCTTGGTCAACTTCTTATCAGTGTCCCAGCCATCCATCCCTTCATATTTGCTGCACCCAAGGAAAAGAGGTTTCTACTTCCCTTTAGGCACCAAGTCCCTTTGAGAGTTAATAGCTGGTTTTGTGACAGCAAGTGGGAAAATATGAGTATCACTGCACAGCTGCAGTGGTAAATGAAGGATTCAGACATCAAAGGAAGAACCACTAAATCCCAGTCAGCTAAAGAAGTCCAGTGTTAGTCTGTGTGTACAAAGCTAGGCCGCAGAGTTAACAGAGGGTATTTGAGAACATAGGAACAAAAAAAAATGCAGTTTGCTGGAGAACAAAGGCTGCCTAATATATTAGCAGTAATCATCCCCAATCCCATTATTTTACCTTTTTTGCCTGCTCTTTAAATATCCCTGTGCAGTGATAAGAAGTCTTTGTGCTGCATCATATCCAACTCCCCCAGTCATTTCACATAGGGGTGCATGTGCTGTGGCCAAGAAGGCCTCTCCAGGCTCCTTCAGCCACACTAAAAATGTCAGTGAAGTGTCCCTGCTGCTGTTTACAGCTGGCTCTTATCAGCTGGCTCTTACCATGTTCATTGCACCTTGCAGATCTTGCGCTGACCAACCCCCAAAGTGTACAGACCACAGCAAATTCAGACACAGACCCTTCCAACTCTGCCAAGCTTGCCTTATCTATAATTTCTAGATACCAGAGGCATTCCACATATTGGCTTTCTACAGCAAACACCTCCACCTAGGAGCCCTGCAACTGGAATGCAGTTTCTATGAGAAGCATGTGCTGCTTCTGTTCCATGCTCAGCAGGACAGCCCTCATGCCTACTGTCAGCATTTCCACCCTTCCTGCAAATGCTCATACACCTTAACGGGGGACACCTTGCCTGGTGATTTGCAAAGATTTGCTTTGATTCCTTTTACATAAATTCTTGTCTTGTTCATGGTTTTCTTCTTGTATCTTTTGGGGATCCAGAGAAGAGAAGATTCTGGGCAAGACCTGAACAGAAGGATGTTCTTTTAACATGCTCCAGTCCAGTGAACACTTCCTTGGAGAATAAGCTCAAGAGGGAAGCAGAAACAAAATGATAATCTTCCAGACAGGAACAGGCAGACTGCACTGTCATAGGAGGGTATCCCTGTGTACATGACTCAAAACTTGCCTGCTCTTTGCTTTGCTTATGGATCCCATGTGCATGAGAGATCTTCATCAACATATAAATGCAAAAAGCTCTTAGGGGAACAATTTGATTGCCTCTTGCACTGAACACTCTGGGACAGCCTTCTTCTTAAAAAAGAAGATTGGGTATGACAGGAACTCTGTGCCTTGTGTATCATATTTTTCCAGCTAATTTAATAAATCACCTCCTACTAAAAAGTGAACTACTTTATAGCATCAGAAGACCACAGGAAAAAAGCAAAACTGAAAGGAAAAAAGCCCTCTACAACTATATGGAAAAAGCACAATAGGTAAAGAACATTTCTGTGAGTAAATACATGGTAACAGCAATGCCTCTCACTGAAGTAAGGTTGATGAGATGTATGTGCTGGCTACTCTGAGCTTTTTGTTAGGTATTTAGAGGAAAGATTAATTTTAGGGAGTTATTTTATGATTTGCATTGCTATGGGGCTGTGCAGTGCTAATATGTGATTAGATTAGAGGTCATTCTCTTGCAATACACTCCTATTTTTGCTGAGAAACTATGTGGAGAAGATTTGCTAGCAACACCTCCATGCAGCTAAGCAGTTACTAACAAAACTCTGTGGGAGAGCATAAGAGGAGTGACTAGAGATACCCAAATCACAGCTGTACTCTCCTCTTGTCCCTGAACTGAAATGGCTGAAAGATCTTCATAACAGTGTGTCCTCAGAAGGACATCACTGGCTTTTGGGAGCACTTCTAAGGTGTTCACAACATTTGCCAGCACTGTCAGAAGAGTTTTACAAGAGCATCCATGCTTGGAATCAAATACTTCTCCAGCACAGTTGAGGCTTCCTAAGATGATGCTATGATAGGCAACAAAGTACAGACCCAGGGATCTTACCTGTCTCTGAGGACCAGTAGGTTCAGATTCTCGTCTCCTTTGTCGGAGGGCTGGTGCTGAATGTAAGGGGGAGTGGGCTGGACTTCCTGTCTGCTGTTCATGTCTACTGTCAGACACTGTTTGAGAAGGTCCTTCATGTCTATGGGAACTGTCCTCCTCAGTCACAGGCAGCATACCCCGACTTCGCCCATCGTGAGTCTTCGGCCTCACTGCAGCATCCGCCCCCAGGCGCCTTCTCTCTTCCCCATCTTCAATAGGCCTCAGTTCCTCGGGCTCCTCATCCGTGGTTCCAGAGGTGCTCGGCTCAGCGCCGGGGTGGAAGTCCTTCAGCTCTGTCTCCTTATCAATGATAACCCACTCCTTGCTGTCAAAGTCCTCCTCCTCCGCCAGCGGCACCGAGCGGAAGGCGTTGCTGAGGGCCTCGTGCTCCACAGAGGCCGACACGTCCATCCTGCCGCTGGCCTGCCGGTCAGCCTGGCCCGTGTCGATGGACAGCATCTGGGCCGGCTGCGAGGAGCACACGAGCCGGGACGGAGAGCCAGGGATGTCCATTCGAGACCTGGGGACACAACAAGAAGCCATTCAAAACACCTCAGGGTTGTGGGCAACTGTGACGGTGTTTGCAGGGGTCCCAGGATGAGGGGAGGGATGAGAATGTTGACTCCATGTTTCAGAAGGCTTGATTTATTATTTTATGATATATATTATATTAAAACTATACTAAAAGAATAGAAGAAAGGATTTCATCAGAATGCTGGCTAAGAATAGAAAAAGAATAGAATGAATAACAAAAGCTTGTGTCTGAGACAGAGAGTCTGAGCCAGCTGGGCTGTGACTGGCCATTAATTAGAAACAACCACATGAGACCAAACACAGATGTTGCATTCCACAGCAGCAGATAATTATTATTTACATTTTGTTCCTGAGGCCTCTCAGCTTCTCAGGAGAAAAAATCCTAAGGAAAGGATTTTTCAGAAAATATCATGGCTACAGGCAATGACAGCGACCATAAGAGAAAGCCTGTGTAGGCCCTTCTCACTCAGTTCTTGGTACACTTCAGAAAGACAGGCTTAAACAAAAATATTTCTTTAGAACCTACAATGGTGTGAAGAAGTGCTTCAGTATGACAGCCAATTCATCATCTCTTTGCCCTGTAGACAAGATGATAACCATTTCCACCCAACAACACCTTTCCCCTTTGTTAAGTTCGACTGGCTTGTGAAAAAAGCCCTCAAACCATGTTCTGATCAATGTTTCTCATTTGGCCTGCATCTGCTTCTTGCTTTGCACAAAGCCAGAGCATTTGCTGCCCAGATTTTAGGACAACTGCAGTGTGTTTTCAACAAGGATCATCCAGAAGCCTTGCAGACTCTTCTGGGGAAAGCCTTCCATGTGTGAGACATCAACATTTTTGACAAAGAAAGGGGAAGTACAGAAGGAGGTGAACCGAAAGGCAATGTAGATAAAACTGCAAGCATTGGCTGCTGAGGTAATGATTAGGTTGATCTTAACAGTCAATCCTCAAGACTCTGCTGAAAGCAGTAGGAGGATAGAAAGGGTGAACAAACCTTCTTTCATGTGGATCTGCTTTTCCATCAGCTGTGGAGAGCCGCTCTGACTCGGGGCTGTTGACGCGGCGGTAGCGGAGGGAGCGCACTTGTGCGGTCGGTGACTCCGGAGGCACTCGGACAGGGGAACTGGGGCACACCCCGTTTCTCTGCTCCTCTTCCACCATGCACTGAGTCTGGAGGGGGAAACACAAAGAACTTCAAGATCTGGCCAAAGATGTTGATTTCCATCCTTCACTGTTGCTCTGCACTTTCTCCCAGGATACAATTTCACAATCTACACAAGCAATGTCTGAAGAGAGGCAGGGTCCCTCTGCCCTGGCAATCAGCTGGTATTAAAATAAGGTATGGACTTAAAATTAATTCAAATATTTAAACATCTTTACAAGGTGGTCTATGGATTTCAATTACCCTGAGTGTTGATCCAAAGGAGTTCTCATGGGTAAACCTACTGCATACACAAACCCTAACAGGTTACTCAAGATGCCCAAGAGCCTTGTTTGTCAACATTCATTTTATCAGGGGCCATGCATTACATTGCAATGTACACACTTTTACATCTGGTCTGACTAAGGCATCTCCTAATTACCAGGGTGGTTTGGGTTTTTTGTTTGTGGTTTTTTTGTTTGCTTGTTTAATCTTGGTCCTTTAAACAAAGTCTTCCACGATATCCATTCAACCACAACATCAGTAAGAGCTCTCCACAGAACCAAGGTCATGCAGGGAGCTGAACACATTCATGGACATTCTATCATTCCATATCTCCTCTTTCATATTGCCTTATTAAATTTAGCAGCAAACAGAGGAGCAAAAGTAGGTGAGCAACACAGCTGCCCTCTGCCTTCCACAGTGCTGATTTTCCTTGGAAAAGAGGGGCAAAAAGCACAGCAGAAGCACAGGATTTGCATTCAACACTGCTGTCATGCAGCATCAGCTGCTGCACACCGCCTGTGTGTGGGGATCTGTATGGAGAATGCTCACCCTTCCCTGCCCTACTTCCCCTTGTCCCCCATTAATGCCAGAGGGTCTGAACACAAGCAGCATCTCAGTGAAACGCTGCTGATCCAGACAGCCGCCTTGTGCATGCAATGTGCACAGGGCAAGTCAGCCAGTGCCCATAAATTAGCAGACCTAAACCACTCAAGCTGGAGTTGGAATGCATAACTAAAGAGCTTTTGCAGCTAAGGAGAGTGGAGGAGAACTTTCAAGCATTAGAGGAAAAGCAGAATAGATGGTAATGGTTTAATCTGTAATCCAGTCATGGCCAGGAGAAGGTTAGCAACAAACAAAGGTCAAATGTGTTTGTGAAGGGAGCAAAGTGCTGATGTAACTGTGGGTAGCACCAGCTTGGTAAGATTCAAGAGCAGAGAACTGGGGGATGGTGTGGGAGAACAGTGACAGTAGTTCTGTCCTTAACACAGAAATGGGAGAAGTGGGACAGAAGGAGATCTGAACTGTCTGCACAGAGAAGTAAGGATCACCTTAGACAGTTATTAGGGAGAAAAAACATGGCAAGCTCCCCTCATCTGCTAAATACAAAGAGCAAGACAGGGAGAGCCAGTTAATTCTAGTGCTACAAGAGTGGAAGATGAAGGATGTGATGCTGTGAAATAGAAGGGTATTTAAACACATCAGTGCCCTTGTGGTTCTGGTGCCTCAGATTACAAGCAGAGGTAGAGCTGTGTCCTTAGGTATCAAATTGGAAGCATCCTTCTTTTCTCCACATAGTGACTGCTCCTTAAATAAAAACCAATCCTCTCTCAGACAACAGTCAGACTGAAGACAGTAAGTCTAGCAAAGCAAAAGGACAGGCAAGAGTCAAACTAAAGATAACAACTCTCAAAGAAAGGACTTGAGCTCTGGAGAGCTTGCTGCCCTGGGCTGTGCTGCACAGGCTGCTGTGTAGCTACAGAACCTGTCAGAGCTGAAGTGCTCCCTGCCATGCTGAGAAAATCCCAAAGCTCCTTTGGCAGCAGCTTGACAACAAATAGCACAGTGCCTGGCACGAGAGTCACCTGGCTGTGCTGTGGAGCTTCTAGAAACCTCTCCTGCCTTTAGCTGCCATTATGACAGGGCTTGTGAATGAGGTACCTAAGAGAGAACACACAGCTAGCACGCAGAAAGGACTCCCCTGTGAAAAGTCTGACTGAAGAGCATCAAAGCACTTGGTGGTAGAAATGCAAAAAAACCACACAAAAGTTGCTAGGATTTGTCTGTAATATTCTTTTCTTTTTTAAAAAATATATGTTGTGTGAACAGAACTGTCTCTCTCCATCAGGCTTTTCTTATTTCATATACCTTCAAATGAAAACTTCTGGGAATGCAGAGTTACCAGTGAGAGATGAAGAAGTAATTTGAACTTCATTCATAATTTCTCAGTGTCAGGGAATGTCCCTGCTAATGTTTCATACAGATAAAACATTGATCTGAATTATTTGCTCTGGAGAATTTTAAGTAAATTAGATTATTTCTTTTCCATGCATTTCTAAGAAGACTAAGGATAGTGGAGATACCTATATTGCTGAAATAAGGACTGACTTTGTACTAGTAGAGTTTGAAGTGAATTCTAGTCAGCCTCGGAAGACTAACACACTTAAAATGCCAGTCTACAAATGTCCATTAAAGTTTGTGATGTGAATCTGATAGGCCCTGACAACATTTTAAGTCTGATGAACATTTCTCTGCTAACAGATTCTGTATGTATCTGATGACCTGCCACTAATATTAATTTATTTGCGGTATGTAAATTTACCTTATTAATAAACTAACTGTCAGATTCTAATACTTGACATTTATCATGGAATCAACCTTCACTGGGGATGCCTCCAAGAAATTAGGTAACATTTACAAGAAAGGACTGAGAAGCAGCTTAGAGATTATGAGGAAAATTAATTGAAGTATACATTTTATGTGAGCTAAAAAAGCTTAATATTATCTTGGAATGCAGAAACACCTTAGAGATTATGAGGAAAATCAATTGAAGTATACATTTTATGTAAGCTAAAAAAAGCTTAATATGATCTTGGAATGCAGAAATATAAGAATATTAAGTAATGGTTTCTCTCACTCTTGATAGGGGGGAAACCATTGTTAGATGCCCCCTATAGATTTTCCTACCCTTAAAAAAGAAAGTTAAAAAAAGGAAGAGAAAAATGAGTGATGATTCAAGGTACAGAAAAATACAGCTTATGAAGACATCTCTGATTACATTTATTTTCCCCAAGAGTGTCACCCTGATTTTTTAAGCCTTCTGGTGTTTACATTCTTGTAAAAAACTTTCTCACACACTTTCTGTAAATAACTTACTGTTTTGCATTCTTTTATAGAAGAAGCAAAATTTGATAGACTGTCGGTTTGTCCAGTGTTATTAGAAAAGTAGCACTTTCACCCTCCAATCCACTGTCACTTTTAAAAATCTATAAATGTTAGAGTCAGAAAATAAACTTCCTCTTTTCACCTTTAGAACAGCAGTGTGTGTGCATTGTGCTGTTTCTTGTCCTATAGTAACACAAGAGGTTGGGACACAATAAAGTTTTGGATTTTAATTTCCATGCCTGGGACATTTCTGATATTATATTAGCTATGCAAGAACTAGAATTTCCTTGGTTGAAGTATCAAAATGCTAGATAATGACATGATGGTAAAAAAGATTCACTTTAGCATTACTGGCCCCAAAAATCTTACTTGCATCAAGACCTAAATTAATCCCAATGGCTTTTACTCTGTGAAAAAATTCCTTGTAATTCCCCTTGCCACAGGAGAATTCTTCAATGCTTTTTGTGCCTACTACATAGGATGCTACATCAGTGGATCTGAGTGGCCTCTGGCAGTGTACGAAACCATTGCCCTACATCCGAGAGTCACAGGAGACAAGGAAAAGTTCTTTACTTTGCTGATGCTGATCCTGAGTTTGTTGCGATTCACATCTGTCTCCTCCCAAACTTCCCCCTCGTTGAAAGCCGTGTTCGGAGCCTGCCCAAGGCCTTCCACGGGCCGGCCTGACAGGATGGGAGGAGCGTTCTCTTGGTCACTCAAATGTTCCCCCTGCAGGACATCCTCGGTGTTCTCACGGAGCAGGTCCCCGGGCACCGGAGTGACATTAACCACACTATAAAAGAGACAAAGAGAAAGGTAAAATTATCAGTATATAAAGGAGACAGCTTATTACATCACCCCATAGGAATTCCTTAGCAGATTTTAGGGTATTACTCAGTTGAAAAACAGGCAGTCCCAGATGTGACATCCTGAATCAGAACAGGAGGATTCCGTGCAATGAAAATTACAAAGACAGTAGGATGGATCAGTGAAAGCATCTTGGGACCCTTGATAAAACTGAAAACTTCTTCACAAGTGCCCATCACACCATATTAAGCTGTGAAGAAACCTCTCCTTCTGCACGAACAAATGATGCTTACGAGGCCCTACAGGTTTTATCTTCCGTAACATTACTAGGGATTACCTGTTATCCCCTAATGTCAGCCCCCCCAAAAGCACTGAGACAGACCAGTGAACCAGTCCTAATCAAGCCTTTTCTATTTGGACTCCTCTGTACCTCTGAGCATCAGTCTCTGTGTACCTTTGTTCACATGAAACACACTGTGAACAGGCTGAGAAGCTGTGTTGGAGGGGTGAGCAGAGCATGCACTCAGCTGTACTCAGTACTCAGCTCACCATCCACCACCACAGACATAAATTAATATCAAAAAAGTCAGATCAAGTGGTGCCCTCTATGCTGTTCCAACTTCCCAGAATCATAATGGCCTTGAAATCTTTAAAAAAAGAACTGAGCTTGCTGTCCACTGTCTGATACAACTACAACACTCACCCAAACATGGCTGCTGTTTGCCTGGTGTTCTGCTGTGGTGGAGTTGAGGTGCTAGTGGACAACAAGATGTCTGTACCAGCCTTCTCCCAGTCAAAGGCTTCATTCTCAGTGATGCCCCTTTCCTTCATGCTGTTCTCGAAAACCGACATGATTAACTGGAAGAGATTTGCAAGAACAATTTCTGGTAAGTAGGTGCGAGAGTGGCTCTTACCAAAAATGTGAAGTATGTGCATGAGGACCAAGTGCATCCAGTTTGCCTATGAAAAATGCTAAAAATGAAAGGAAAACTTATGAAATTGCAACAGTTGGTTTTGGCTTCATAAGTAAGATTTCTTCAAACCTACAAAAGAAATGCATGCAGCATTTTGACACTGATTCAATGAAAGCTTGCAGTTAGCTTGTTACTCCAACTCTAAATCCATAACTTCAATTCAGCCTTCCTCTAGGTTAGACAGTACATTATGCAGAACAGTACATTTGATATGCAGAGTTCAAGGGCTGCCAGAAGACATAAACAGAACAGGAAAAGGCAGCCCTAGGATGCAGACTCATTGCAGTGTCTGGCTGAAATATGGCTTAGTCAGAAGCCCTACGTTGTGTTTAATGTGCACAATGTGGCCTGACACACTTGGCTGCCTCAGAAAATAAAGCTCTGAAAAGGATGATACAATTTTCTTTATAAGATGGCAGGTACAAATGCTCATGGCTGATGTGCTCCATGCTTGTTCCTTTTCTAAGAACTGGTATCCTCTAGGAGAGAATGAAATTACTGTCAGTAGTTCTCAATGCACCAATGCATTAGCAGAGAAATCTGATGTTGTGCTGTCAAAAGGAAACTGGATGCTGTAGGCTAACAGAGCTGTGAGGTCCTACATTTCTAATAAAATTACTTAGCTAAATAATGCAGAACTGACAGGATTCAGCCTGACAGTTTCCCTCTACAGGGAGAGACAATCTGATGGCTAAAACATTCAGCTTATGGTGTAGAATCAACACTAAGTTATGAATAAAATTTAGCATGAGCAAACATCCTATTTGCAGCTATATTCCAATTCTGTTTATCAGCATGATCAGAAGGACAGGAAAGCCTGCCATTTCCCACTACCTTCCACCAAACTGCAGAAAAATGCCTATTTGCAGCTTTCAGATGAGCCAACTTTTTCCTCCTTTCTGTGACCCAGAACCCTAGAATCAGGGGCACACTCCTGTGGTAATACTACATTTGATAAACAGAATTTCCAGAGTTGGGCGTCAATCAGACCAAGGCACAGGAAATTCCTAGGATTGTATTTGTTTTATGACTGCTACTTTGGAAATTATTACTGTTGAGTATCTTTTAGTAATTATTATCCTCACAAACTCAAAGATGCCTTGCAAGAGCTCCACACATTTGTAGACAGATGCTTCTATAAAAGCCATACTGGCTTCTGTTCATTAGATCACCCTCACCCATCTGTCCACTAATGCCAGTCTTACCAGAGCTTTGGATTCTTTGTGATGGACATGTCAGTATCAGGGAGTGGTATCTTGTGAAGCTATTTAAAAATTGGTACTGCTTCTGCCACCTTCCATTCCTTTGACACTGAAGCAGTCTGAAGTAAGAAACCACATGATAAAATTAGATGTTCAGCTGCCTTATTCTTAGCATCCCTTTAAGGACTCACTCAGTTGAAACAACTTTTGTTACTTTCTGCTATAACTTATTCTGTAACTCTTGCACTTGACTTTTCAGGCCATTAGGGATTTTACAGCCCTTTACTGTACTCCCTGTAGGATCCTTTTCCATGGCTGAAGGGTACAGGTATTTTCACCTGCCATTATTCTAAAGGTATTTAATGGACTTACTGAGTCTTCTCAGCTTTCTCTGAAACCTTTATACTCCTGATGAAAGGTCAAAGCTTTACAAGGAGAGAAGTGGAGTGGAAAACTGCACAGAACAGTCCCAGCAACAGCCACTGCTCCTGGAAAGTCATGCAAAAAAGTCACTGGATCCTGTCCAGGGATCCTCTGCCTACAGACAGAATATTAAGAATCAGAAAAGTTTCCATAGTCATGTTGAATTTCCTTCTGCTGGACAAGACAATGTGCAATTCCAACTCTGAGTATCAAACCCACTAGTTTTGATAAAGGCTTCTTTTGATAAGGAAGAGGTCCAGTATGTTTCTCTATTAAAGATGTTACTGTCCATGAGGACATAAAGCTTAATTGCACATTATGTAGCAGCATGCCATGTTTTGGGCTGATGGCCCAGAGAATGAGAGGGAAGCAGCCAATGGGGCACAAATTACCCACTAAGCTGTCGTGATACATCTTGTCAAATGGCTTCTCCTGGCCAAGGCTCAGGAAAGGAATCACAATCAATCCTGAAATATCACATACAAAATGTACCAAATCAGTTATGGATTGTCGAGGTGCTCAAGCCTTGAATTCTTTGGGGTTTATCTAGGAAGATGGAATCTTTCAGCAGAAACTTTGGGCACAACAAATTGCTCTTGATCAAGTTTCTAATCTGCACTGTGATCTACAACACAGTATTTAAGAATAAATATCAGGCACACCTCTTTAGTGGAAGAGGTGCCCTTTTGATAAGGGAATGCTGATGTAGGTTTGTAAGCCCTACAAGAATTTCTAGGGGGAAAACACTAGGACTGTGATGGAAGATATCTAGTAACTTGCTGTCCTGTTTTCAACTGGAATAGAGTTCATTTTATTCCCAATAGCTGGTGCAGTGCTGTGCTTTGCATTCAGGATGAGAGCAGTGTTGATAACACACTGATGTTTTGGCTGTTGCTCAGTTGTGCCTACCCTCATTCAGGACTTTTCAGTGTCCCATGCTCTGCTGGTGGAGAGCTGCACAAGGAGCTGAGAGGGAGCACAGCTGGGACAGCTGTGTCCCAAACTGGCCAAAGGGATATTCCATACTACAGGGTGTCATGCCCAGTATATAAACTGGGGAAGTTGGCTGGAAGGGACCAATTACTGCCTGGGGACTGGTTGGGCATCAGGCAAATGTATTTTGCATCACTTGATTTTCTATTATTATTATCTTTTTTCCTTAACTACAATTTTGATTATTATATTCTATTTGTTTCGACTATTGCATGGTCCTTGTCTGAACCTGTGTTTTTTTTCTTTTTTTTCTTTTTTTTTTCTGATTCTCCTCCCCATCCCACTGTGCAGGGTACACAGCTGCCAGCTGGAGCCAAACCACCACACTTGGTCAGCATGAGAGAACTCAAACCAGCGCTGGTTGTTCACAGGGAGTCTCTCCCAATTGCTCTGACAATATCTGGTATTGACTGAATCTAATGGAGGATGTCCATATAGGAAACTCACCTTTCCACACCTGCTCAGGATGAGTACAGGACAGGCATTCTCTCAGACAACAACAGCTGATGTGAGTATTTCTCCTTGACTGAAATGCAATTCACAATGCCCTAGCTGAGGGAATAGGATGGATTCCCAAGCAAAGGCACTTGTCTTTGCACTTTAAAGTTCTATAATTTTGCAGGAGCAAAGGTCACTATTAATTTTCTGATACTCATTGCAAAAATATATTTGGAGAGAAAAGCCAGCCACACCTGAAACTGCTCTTCTACCAGCTGGACTATATGCAAGTGTAGTACAAAATATTTTCTACTACATCCTATCTGCACTTTTCCAGGGAAGAGGCATGCCTCTTGCTGTCCAATGAGTCAGAAAACCCCAAAATGCTGCCTCAACACCCACATCCTCCTCCTGTGAAAGTGCTGAAAGTTTGATCCTAACCATGAACCAACACTGACAGCGATCCATTAAAGGGACAGACCTGACACCTGAGGACATGAGCCCAAGAAGTACAAAAACACAGGGTATAAGATCCATCACCTGACAGCTCAAGTCTATTTTATTCTACCATCATTTTCCTTTCCCCTGCTTAGGCAAACTTGTGTCATCTACCCATCAGAGAGTAGTGATCTCTGGTCACACTTAGTGTCCTGTTACAGCTTGGTACATGTCTCTTGGAGACATCATCTCACAGACTCAAAGCTGTAATTAAATTGCCACTCTGCTTGACATTTCCTTTATTTCTCTGTGGGTCTGGTACTGGTGACAAATTCAAATGGCCTTTGGTATAGTTCTTAATATTTCAGAGTAATACATCCAGATAAATCAACACAGAGACATCTCTGAAGCTGAGATGCTTGGAGAATTTGCTGTCTGGAATAGGTCTCCAAGTCAAGCTAGAAGTGGCAAGCTTAGATGCCAGACTTTTGTGGAGAGTTCCCTTTTGGAGGCTTCTTGCCCAAGCTGCACCTGCAAGAAACTGAAGGCAAAAAGGCAATTCACAGCTTCAGTCAAATACCCTACTGTGAAAGAGCTGTTTGTGTTTAGTACTGCCTGAATTCTGTCTGGAAACATCTCCTTCCATTTCAGTCTCAAGGATGGCTTTTTGGTACCATTAGGACACAATTATTTTAAGCTGGAATAGGATACAGGAGCAGGTAGGTTCAAAGGCAGCTTTGGAAATCTACAATCCAACCATCTGCTCGAAGCAGAGCTAATTAAAAGGCAGATCATATTTGTCATTCAGCCAATCTTTGGAAATTCCCAAGGATGGAAATTCCACAGCTTTTCTAAGTACCTGTTTTGTATATAAGAACCCACACTCTGAATTTTCCACCCCCCTGCTGGATTCAGTCACAATTTCCCTTGCTGCCTCTATTCTCCCCACAACTGTCCCTTGAGGCAGTGAAAGAGCAATCAGATCCCCTCTTTCACTTCTCTACTCCAGGACAAACAAATCCAGCTCCCTCTGCATCTCATCAGTCCACTTCCATCCCTCTGTAGCTCTCCCTCTTAGTGGCAAATGCTATTTTTCCACTGCACTATGTAGAAAGCATTTGCCTTTTCCTTTTAATTTTTAAAAAATGTGTGGTTGCTATGTTACAACATGTACATGGCTAAACCACAAAGGCACTGTTGGAGAGGGTTTGTTGGAACACCCTCCTACCACTTTCCCACTCATTTGATGCACTATCAACAGGACCAGGCACTCAGATAAGACTGCACAGATCTGCTTATAAAACGTTGTTTCCATCACTATCTTTAATGTACAGAGAAAACCATTGTGATAAAAAAAAAGCAACACAGAATCAAGTTGCTCCAGTTCTGTTGTGTTAGTCTGAGTTACTCACATATAGGCTGACAGCAAACACTGAATGGGAGGAAAAACCCTATGTTAGATGAATATTAAAGAAAGAGGTAATAATGGCCAAGGCCTATATAAGTCTGCAAGAAATCAAAGGGGTTGGTGTACACCATTGAGCTGTCAGTGTAGGCTCTTAGACCTTGGCATGCTGTGCCAAAATTCTGCCAGATTTGGAGTACCTCAAAATTTTTGTGTCTTAATGAAAGCCAAAGGTACTGTGTTGTTTGGGAGGAACTATCTGGTGTGGAGTTCAGGATTATTTTGGACGGGGTGGTGGAAGTAGATGAAGGAACTTTTGAGGTTTTGAAGAACTGTACAGTCCAGCCTCTTTTCCCTGGTTCTAGGAAAGGTATTGGGCACACAGGACAGAGAGTACTTTAGACCTGATTAACACAAGAGATCTGATAATAAGGATGCCTTGTCAAGAACAGAGCTTTGAAGATTGAATCAAGACTGGCTGACAGGAAAGGAGATTGAATCAACTTCTACAAGCAAGAGATGTTGCAAAATGTGTGATGATTAACCCAATCATTGTAGTAAAAAATTACTAGCCTTCCTAGAACAGTATATAAGCATAAGTAGTCCACAATAAATTTGGATTCTGATCACCACTCAGTCTTGCCCATCTCTCTCCCTCACCAATACTCAGACAGATAAAAACACATTCATGGAAATGTTAAAAAATCTAAATGCCAATCCATAGCGCCATGCATCACAAAGTAACAAAGACAGGCTCCCACCTGATAGTCTGGCTTGGTGAAGTAGTCTAGGCTTGCAATGTGATCCAGGAAAAGGTGGAACTCTGAAGGCATGTGTTTTAGCAGCATTCGGTGTTCGTACTTTTCTTTTATCATGCCAACCTGCTCCTGGAAAAAAACCAATACAAACAAACAAACAAAAACATTTCAGAGCCAAGAATCTCCTCCATTGCTTCACATTTATCATTCCTGGAACACAGACTCTTCCTAGACCCAGCACAGTGTCTACACACTCCTCCTGTTTGCTGCTCAAGGCACAAGGAGCTTGAGCACTGCAGGCAGAGGTCAAAGGGGAATCCTGAGTCAGAAGCTTGCTGCATAGGTGACCTATTTCCTTCCAGGGATTTTATTCTTTAGCACAAAGTATTTCCAAGACAATATGAACACTTAGCTTTATTCTGTTCAACTTTCTAATTTCAAATCCCACTTGGCTTTTTTGGCACAGCAAGGTGTTTCCCTCCTGTCTTTCTAAAGGCTCTTTTTATTTGTCAAAAGGACAGCTCAGTCTTTGCACTTGTATTGTTTACTTTGCAAGAAAAAAGTAAAAACCATGTGATCCAATATGATTAACAATATTCATAAAAAAATGTCTGATTACTCAAAATAAGAGAAGCCCACCCTGTGTATCAGAACACACAAAAGCAGGTTAGCAGCTTACAGCAAGACCTGATGAGAAGGAGATTCTGGCTTGACTCCAGAAAAAAAGCTGCACTGAGCCTCAGGAGGAATAATAAAGAGTCATAATAATTAAAATGTAGCACCCTCTTTTAAGCACAGACACCAGTTTTCCTACCTTGTCTTTGATCTTTCTCCATGGAAGCTGACCAACAGCAAACTCCACCAACATGTAAAAGAGGGACCACAGATCATCGTGTCTGCCCATCTCCTGCAGAAAAGAGAGACCAAGACTGAGGAGCAAAGTTCCCCATGGCTGAGGGCTCCAGGTGTACTCTCCAGATGAGCCACCTCATTTTAAAGGGCAAGAAAAGAAGTCACACTTCCCAGTCAATGATTTAAAAAGCCAAATTACAGGCTAAAGATACATATTTACTAAACCAATAATCTAGATTAAGAAAAACCCCAAACTGTATATACAACACATTTTTATTATTATTTTTAAGCCTAAATATAATTCCAATTCGCTCAAGAGTTTTTGCAAAAGACTCACCATCATGCACCACAACAATTTACAGATTTATAAGATTTCCACGTACAACTCTCCTCCTGGGTTAGTGAATGGGAAATGGAAACATGGGGATAAAAGCTGAAATTGTCAAAGCACATGAACTCATTTTTGGTGCTCAACTTCCAATGTCTAGGATACGATTTCTCAAAATAGCCTGCATTATACAGCAATTTTTGTGTCTAAATATACATTCAGCTGATGCCAGCTACAGCTGGGCCTACTCAGCTCTTGCGAAAATTATACCTCAGGTTTCTCTGTGTCTCTCAAGAAACAGAAAGAATCCATGATGGCATTCAGCTGCCCTCCTCACATCACACTTTCCACCTTTTGTAGACAATAACTTGCTCCTTCCCTAAAAAACCCTAACATTTCTTTGTATGTCACAGATCATCCTACAATGCAGAACTTAGAACCACAGAAGATGCTGACTTGGAAGTGATCCATCAGGACCATCAGTCCAACTCCTGGCCCTGTGCAGGACACCCCAAGAATCACACCCTGTGCCTGAGAGTATTGTCCAAAATTACTGTTTATTGTCTGCAAATGAACCCTAGTGAAATAGGAGAGAGGAGTATTTTGAGAAGAATGTTAGATGAGCCTCTAGAAGCATTTATAATGAAACAGGCCAGACACTATCTGAATAATGGTTCTTTTCAGGGAAAAAAAAAAACAAAACACTCTAGCTTTCACCAGGTAGCTCTTCTCCTGATGGTGTGATGGTAATATTTAAAATTACAGATCAAGAATGGATTTGGGGACCGGGCACTTGGCAATTCCAGGCCAAGTTCTGCTAGAAACTAGCAGCAAGCAACCTGGAACTTAACCAGATTTCCCCTTCAGTGTGGCTTACTCTTGCCCTCAAAAAGTGTCTGGTAATGCAATAATTACAATTTTAAAGTCTGCCAACTACAGAGGACCCAATAAGTGAAGCATAATTTTGATTTTACAGTCAACACCCTTAACTACCCAATGGAAATCTCCTGATATATTAACTTCCACAGATAACAAACCAGAACTCTCACCCTCTTGCTCCTTTTACTTCTGAAAAGAGGTCTCAGAGGGGGAATTATCTTACTGGCAACTCCTTATAGCTCCAAAGCACTCACCCTGTTTTTGTGTGCATTCACGGAGGCATAGCGGACGGTTCCTCGGAAACCGGCAACGTTGCGAGGCTGGAGGGAGGCAAGAGAAATATCTCAGAAACAGAGTGGATGACTGCATCCCCTGTGCAGCCAACTGCTGAGAACTCCTTGTCTAAATTGCTATTTGGGATGCACCCAAGGAATAGGAGGGTCTTAGTGCCTTCTTGTGCTCTAGCAGCTACACAGAGAGCGTTCTCTCCGATTCTGCACATCGAGGAAAGCTCGCCCTACAGAGAAGGCAAGGTGGTTACAGTGCTGTGTTAGAACAGAAACAGTCCAGGCATAGAGAGAAGAACATTAACCAGGGTCAGATTTTCCTTTTTAAACTGCAGGTCAAGGGAAAAGCTAGTAGAGAAGTGCAAAACTGAGTCATGAGTAACATGAGCTAAGCAGAGCCTGAGGATGGCCTGGTCAGGATGGAAATGGAGATCACCTACTCTGACAGATGACCACTGCTGTAAGCATCTTCTGTGAGACTTCAACAAATTCTCTGACTTTCAGAGTTCTTGCTTTTTTCCAGATTCTTCCCAGTGTATCCTATCTTTATTTTCTCTTTCCCTGATTCTCTTTTTCATGTCCTTGGGAACTAAAGGCTTGATACAGTGGGTGTGGAAAGGCAGTCCTCCTGTGACTTATTTGTCCCATCTGGAGGCTTTCTCTGCTTTGGGGGCAGAGCAACTGTTCCAACTCTTTCTACTGCTGCTTCCACAAGAACATTAGACCATGTGAGTTCACTTATGCAGATGTCATTCTGAAAAAACTTGCATTTAAATCATGACATCCACCAAATTCTCTTAGTTGAACTAGAAGCACCAGAGTTAACAAGACTTAACAGCAGTGGTTTCAAAATTCTTGCAGTAAACCAGGTTCAGACTTCTTCCATCATAAGGCTAAGCTTGAGCAAAGAGGTAAACATATTCAAAAAGAAGTTCCTACTCCAAATTGAACATATTAATAACAAGCTAATTGAGTAACTTGTCCCACAGAGGTCAGTGGATTCAGGTTTGTTCTTTCAGCTGTGCCTGTGCTTCCAGAACTAGGCCTAAAACTCTGTACTTTTATTCTAGGGCACCCTTCTGACACTTTAAATATGTACAATTCAGTCGCTTCCTTTGGGGTACAGGGAAGTTGCTCTGAATTTCAATATTCTCAGAAAGAATAAAATTTCAAATGTTTTTTTAACAAGTTCACCAACACCATGTAACACACCCACACCTGTACAGTGTACAATGCAGCTCTTAAATTATAATGACTCTAAGCAAAATAAAAAGCTGTAAGTCTATCTTACAACTTTTGTGCTAATCAAATACTCCCCCAAAGAGACCCCATCTGCATAACCCATGCACTTAATCCAGCATTTAATCTTGCACTACAGCAGCTTGATCTATAAGATACTTATTTAGCATATTATATTTGTGATCATGTACCTCATTGCTCTCAGAACTATGCAATTCAGGATTCTCACTGACAAACATCTGCAAAATAGAATTCCACAGAATTCAGTGATGTGAGTTCCTGAAAAGCAGAATATTGGCCACTACAATATAGCCATCACCATAAATTTGCTCTACACTTTCAAAAGAAAGAAGATATTCCTCTTTTCCATTATGAATGGAAGACAGTGTGTTTGGGTACTTATCATGAGTCATAAGGGTATACTGTGAACAATTCTAACATGTAACCTGTAATGTTTTCAGAACAAAAATTATTCATTTTTTGCAGTCCATGCAAGTGCTGAACCAAGTACCAGGTGTGCTGGCTTCAGTATGTCAGCAATGCCTCTAAAAATTGTTTTAGATCAATACTTACTATTCCTGGCAGACAGGCTATCTGTGCAGCCTTTATTTAGATCTGTTCTGAAACCAATGCCAGGCAGTTTGCAAGCATTGGTAGCAAACCTCTCCTCTCTCAGAAGCAAAGCAAAGCAAATCCCAGCTTTTGGTGCAGATCTTTACCCTTGCATCTGTCCCAAAATGACCCTGCTGCTCCCCAGCAGTCCCACACCTGAACCCAGAGGGATTTTCCTCCTCTTCTCTCTCTCCTGGGACCTCAGGGAAAGGAGAGCACTGCAATTGGCAAAACTTTGCAATTGCTTTGACAGGACCTTTAGAGTCCTTTGAACAAAACAGATGCTAATTGTGTAACAGGGTCTTTGCTCATAAAGGTTGCACCTCTTTTAACCATGTCTGCCTGTCCTGCCAGTCACAAGGAATTGTCACTGCAATCCAGCATTTCCCAGGATGTAGAGATCCCTTGTTTTCCATTCAAACAAACAACTCTTCCCTGAGCATTTGTTGTGGCACATGCTGCAGACCCAACTATTATTGACTTTTCTTCTGAATTCATAAACATTGATTTTCCAGATGATTTCTTTACACACTTCATTTCTTCCAGTTAATAAACTTCATCCCACCACTGCACTGGTCAGCAGTGGGAAAGAGTGTGGATACAGCATCCTTTTTGTCTAGATCTGTCCACAGTTGAGACAGAATTGAAATTGCAGCACTCAGGAGATTCAGACTATGGAGTCATATATAATCCAAGTGATTTGAATTCCCAAAATTACGAATATATAATAAGCTAGCAAGTTGAAATACAATTTTAAACCATAAGTGATTCTTTTTTTACACATCAGTGTTACTATAAAAATGTTATAAAGCATATCTCTTCTCTCACTGAGATTGTGTGTACCACAAAGCTAAAGTACTTTACTACACAGTGCTGCACTGTGTAAGAAACTTGGTTTAAAATGAGTTTCAGCTTGGGACAATGTGTTAGATCACCACCACAGAGCAAAACCTACACTCTGTGTGTTCCTTTCACTGCATTAGCAATGCAGACCACCTCACAGACAGAGACAGAAGTAGATAACAAAATCCTGTATGAAGTGGAAGTGTTTTCCAAACTGTGCTCTTATACACCCATCATTCTCCAGGGTAAACACTCAGGATCATTTGTATTTCAAGTGCCAACAGTGTCCCCTTCATGATTCACATGAAGTCTGTCTTTCCTGCACACTCCCCTTTTATGAGAGGAGTGCCCATATTTTCTCATTAATGTGAATCCCTGCTCCTCACACTATGTTCTTTCATAGAGATTAAAATTATTCCTTTTTTGCCTCACCGGCAAAAGGAAACTGGATATTTTGAATGTGCCTCCCTAAAAGCTTGTATTTGGATGCCAGTACTTTCCTCCTGCTGTTTCTTGTGACTGTGGTGCTCTCATGACCATGACCATTGGTTCCTCCCCAGCTTTCTGGAACCTCATGAGATGCACAACCTTTGCCCATGGCAGGCCTGCTGTCATCTGGGATATTGGCCCATTCCTCCTGGAATCAGGAAAAGGACTTTCAGCAGTAAGAATGTGGAAAAAAAAGTTAGCACAGTTTGAAGAGAAGGTGGTAATGGGAGAGGAGATGCCACAGATCATGGAAAGCATTTGGAGATATATCTTGGATAGAAATTACTTGTGTTGAAAGGTTGTGGTAAGAAGGAAAAGTGAAAGAAAGCTTTAACTGAACTAAAAGGAAGCATTCCTGTGATCTCTGGGAACCTTCTGCTTCTTCAGACAGGTTCATGGAGGAGATGCCTCTCCACCTCTTCTGGTGGGGAGAAAATCCACACCTCTTATATGCATTTTGACTTCTTAATTTAAACAGCAGCATTTTGTGGAATCATTAATGACTGCATTATATTTTATGTCCACAGGGAGTCACAAATGACTAGAGGAAGCTGGAGACAGAAAAGTAAGATGAGAAAACTCCCCTCCCTTTGTCTCTGAAACCACAGAATTGACAAAATCAGTCTGGCACCACCCAAATATCTGCCAGCTCCTCAGAGAGAATCCCAAGTGCTCTAGGCCTCTGCATCACATTTAGGTAGCTGTCACAATCCTGCTGAAAAACAAACAGATCATGAGGGAAAAAAGAAAACCAGGTGTAATTTGGACTTCCATATATAACAAAAGCACAAACCAAAATGAAAACCCAGAAGCATGGTGATGGCTCACTCACAACTCATAGCAGAGATGGTTACGAGCAGCGGATGGGAAGCCAACGCATCAAACACAGCCTCAAAAGAAGAGCCCAAAAGAACTGTAAAACAGAGAGAAACCCAAAGAAAAACATGATAAAAAAAACCAACAAAATGAGAAAAAATTAAACAGAAATAAATTAAAAAACATTCAGTATTGTATCCCAACAGAAACCTGTGTCTTGTTTAGCTGTTGCCATCTCCCATCACCCTTCCCAGGGCTGTTGGCCCATCCTGTGCTCAGTTTCATTTAGCCAGGAAACACACCAAGCCTTTGGTGAGCCTGTGTGATTTGTGAGTGCTCTGTAAGCGGTGAGAGGGGGCCCTCTAGGGAAAACCTTCCCCTGCCTGCACATCACACCTAATAACTGGAAAAACAAAGCTGCGAGCAGCCATGCAGCCAGCCTTACCACAGAGGTCCCTTGTACACTTCTACTGTGCTTTTCCTTCCTACAGTAATCTGATGTGCGCTCCTCCCTTCCTCCCCTAACCAAACTGATCTAATAGCCCTCAAGGGGATTTGCTCCCTCACCTCTCGCCCCTTTCATCCACAGCAAGTTCTAACATTAGCACATAAGTTTCTAAAAATCAACAGCAACGTCCCCTTTCCTATTTGAATTGTTATGGGTTCTCACCCAAGGTATTTGTTTTTTTGTCTGCAACCACTACCTTGCTGTCTCACAATCAATCTCCACACAAACAGTGGCTTGCCAACTTTACAGGTTTCTCAGCTGCCAACTCGGGGCATGTTCCCTTTCCCTGGTGGGTGCTGCCGTGCTCCACTGTCCGTGGGGAGATGCAGAATGGTGGTTTGGGAGACAGCAGGATGAAACCCAGGGCTGCTTTTAGGTGACATGAGCAGTCATAGTATCTGTGAATGGCACAGCAGAGAGATCTGAGGGACATCCTCGTCACAGGCAAAAATTAATATTATAATATATAACCTTTGAACTCAATTCAATGACCTGAGGAAAGAGCTTGACTGAGAGATACTTATTC